TTGCTGGGAGCCTTAGCATAACATTCAGTATGTAAATGTTGACTTTCAAGACCTAGTCCCACCATCCGCCAGGAACCTGTCTGTCATCTTTGTAGAAAAGGCATTTGTAGGCTTTTCTTTGGTAGAAAGAGATATTTGCATGAGTGCATGAAGTAGGGAAGAGACTGTGGAGACCAGAACCCAGGTCTTTTGCAAGACTAGAAAGCGCTCTTAACTGCTGAGCCATCCCTCCTGCCCTAACCACCAACTTTTCAACAAATGTTTATTGAAACTGCAATGTATGACGAAGTATCAGAGAGCATTTGGTTTATTTTTCTTTTCTGATGTTTGAATTTGTTTTGATTTTGATTTGAATGGATATTTTATGAAATATAGAAGAAGGAATCCTGTGGGAGTAAAAAGCCTTGAATGTAAGATGGACCATTAGGATCTCCTCACATCTGGGCTTGGCCTAGTGTGGGGACATATGCCTGCCATCCTGGTAGTTGGGAGGCAGAGGCAAGAGGAATGGAAGTTTTGAGGCCAACCTATACTGTATACCCAGTCTCCAAAACCAACTAAGCAAGCAACCCCCCTCTCCCCCCTTTTGATTCAGGGTCTTTAGCTCAGGCTGACCTCCTCTGGCCTCAGCTTCTCATGTATGGGGTTTCTACTCACTACCCACCCTGCTTTCTCCTTAAGTCTGAAAACAACATTTGTATAAGGCATCCAAATGGTTTAAATAACAGTATAAATGATACCTGTAAGGACTAGACACCTAGTTTAACTTACTAGTCTTCAGAGAGAAGATACATTGTTTATTACAAGCCCTCAGGAAGGTGGGAGATTCTGATAGAAAAAATGAGCACATTAATGGTGATTTGTGTAATCCATATGACAATAGCTTGAACAATCCCAGATTTTAGTTAGTCTACTGGAGGAGTGCCATGAAGTGAAGGTATTACTAAACTGTTACATAAAATTGTTTCTGCTGGGCGGTGGTGGCCCACGCCTTTAGTCCCAGCACTTGGGAGGCAGGGGCAGGCAGATCTCTGTGAGTTTGAGGTCAGCCTGGACTACAGAGTGAGTTCCAGGAAAGGCCCAAAAGCTACAGAGAAATTCTGTCTTGAAAAACCAAAAAAAAAAAAAAAAAGAAAAAAAAATGTTTCTGTTTGTTCATGGGGTAAGCTGTTCCCCCTCAGAGCAGACAGCTACAAGAGTTCATGAGCATAAACCCTGCATCTCAGAAGCACTAGGAGGCCGGTCACTTTGTCCGATAGCATTTTGTTATACCCACTTAGCGCTTGACTTGAGTAGCTCTCCTCTCTCCTCCTGAGCTTTCTAGAGCAATCCTCTTCTAAAAAGGGCCAAGGTCAAGTTCATCTCCCAAGGAAACAAAAGCCCATTGCTTTAGCTGCCTTTTCTTTTGACGGTGAATGTTTCTCAGGATAACTCCAGGCTTGTTTATAAAATGTATATGTGTTTGTGTGCAGAGCTGGGACTGAAGTCACGCCGACAGAATTCCAGCGAGGTAAAAAGCTTTTGAATTATAATCTTGTTGAGGACAGGGTCAATTTTGGACTTTTGGCTCCAAAAGCATTTAGCATCATGCTTTGATGCAAGAAATGTATATTAAATATTTTTTCAATATTCATTTGTTGATATTAACTTATCAGTACTATTAGCATGGAATTTGTGTTGCTAGTTCTTTCTTTCTCAGATTCTCAATAGAATTCTAGCTCTGTCTGGCATAGTCAATAAATAATGTAATAAATGATGTGAAATTCTAATTAAATTTTTAACATTTATTTATTTTGTGTGTGTGTGTGTGTGTGTGTGTGTGTGCACATGAATATACCATAGAGTGCATATGGAGGTCAGAGGACAGACAGCTTTGGGAGTTGGTTCTCTTCTCCCACCATGTGGTTTCCAGGGATAGAACTCAGGTGGTCAAAAAACACAAAACAAAACAAACAGCTCAGGTTATGCAACAAGCACCTTCCCCACTGGGCCAGCTCTCCAGTCTTAAAGCTCCACTTTTTTTTTTTTTTTTTTTTCGAGACAGGGTTTCTCTGTGTAGCTTTGTGCCTGTCCTGGAACTCACTTGGTAGCCCAGGCTGGCCTCGAACTCACAGAGATACGCCTGCCTCTGCCTCCCGAGTGTTGGGATTAAAGGCGTGCGTCACCGCCGTCCGGCTTAAATAACTATTTTTATACAGAAGAAATAAATTCAGGTTACCATCCAGTCTACTGTCCTGGGTACAATGTTAAGTGCATGTCAGTCCCAACCCTCAAAGAATTCCCAATCTGATGACAAAAGCAACACACAAAATAAATTTGTATTTGCCATAAGTTATGAAGACCTTCCCTAGTCAATCTTTCAAAGAAGTGAGGGAGTCCTGTGACTTCCTCTAAAATAGTTTCCTGAATAGTATAAGACCCCTTCCTGCCGGGCGGTAGTGGCGCACGCCTTTAATCCCAGCACTCGGGAGGCAGAGCCAGGCGGATCTCTGTGAGTTCGAGGCCAGCCTGAACTACCAAGTGAGTCCCAGGAAAGGCACAAAGCTACACAGAGAAACCCTGTCTCGAAAAACCGAAAAAAAAAAAGACCCCTTCTTTCGTCTCGCGTGGCTCTATGACATCGCCTTCCCTCAAGATTCTTTTTTTCTAGTTTTACTAGTCAATTTTACCACAGAAATATGGCTTTACAAGTTACCTAATCAAACTTCCTATTTGATGGTTAAATCTTTGTTGGGTGAGCATGTGAATTTGTGATTGCTGTTTGTCTCACTTCGAACATACCAAATTACAAAGAGCAGATACCTAAACCCCGTTCATTTAATCAATGAGAGACTGGCTCAGAACTGTTTGGTTTAGACTGGAAACATCACCAAATATCAGAGCTCTCTTTGGGAAGGCTTTCTTGTCTGTTTCATTTATTCAGGATAGACCTGTGTTTGGAAGATTTTAGCAGGACCCAGTGGGATTGTGTTGATATTTTTAGGTGAAATTACGCTACTTTGTTTAAGAAGGGAGCACCCACTCCACAAGTTGGCAGAGCATGCGTGGGCCCCTGGGGAATGGATTGGGGGGAAGAGTAGACTAAGGTCAGATCGGGAATCAAGTCTAGACGGAGGCCCCACTTCCAAACTCCACTCTCCTCCTCTGGTTGGGCAGCTTCGGTTGAGCACAGTCACGGCCCACCCAAGGACTCCATCTTCTTCACACGAAGTTCCGAGGCCAGTGGCTCCTTCTGACAGTCCCGATCCTCAAGAGTTGGCCGCTTCTCTTCCATTTGTTCCTTGGGATGCTCGTCTGGGGTGCTTCTTCCGCTTGGGCCTGGCAGGTCTCCTCGGCGCTCGCCCGCTCGCCCGCCCGCCCGCCGGCCCCCCCCAACCCCCAGCCTAGCCTCCCCTCAGGAAAACCCTTCCCTCCCAGGCCGAACCCTCTCTCCTTTCTTCTCGTGGGGCTTCTTCAGGCCAAGTTGGGAACTTGCTCATCAAGACTTAACTTCGCGAGCCTGTCTCCGCTTTACACCAACGGGCCGGGCGCAGCCAGCCCCGGGCCCCGGGCCCCGAGCTCGTCGTCCCCGCGCGGGGCTCAGGTGGGACGGCGCGCTCAGGTGAGCGAGCTGATTTCGCGCGGCGTCTGAGGGGCTGCGCGCTTGTCCCAGAGTCCGCCCACCACAGCTGCGGCCCCGCAGCTCCCCGGGTCCGGCGTGGCTGAGCTCGGGCAGGGCTGCGGGTGGCTGGCGAATCCAGCTGCCGGCCAGCTGCGTCCCCTGTCCTCCCCCGTCCCCCCGTGCCCCGTCGCCGCCCCGCCGCACTCCGGGGCGCCGCGAGCGGGAGGAGACGCCCGCTGCCGGCCGCGGGCTTTGTCCGTCCGCCGCCTCGCCCCGCCCCGCCCCGCCCCGCGCCTCCCCGCCCCCTCCGCGGTCCCACTTCCTCGGCGCGGGAGGCGGGAGCGCGCCGGGCAGCGAGGGGTTAAGCCGACGCGCTGGAGGCGCGGAGGGATCCGGAGGCGAGCGGAGCTCGGTGCTGAGGCCGCCTCAGCGGAAAAAAAAAAAAAAAAAAAAAATGTCCGCCTGAGGAGACCCACAAGTTCTATCGGGGGGACCGCCAGCCCGCCCGCGGGGGAGCCACGGGCGGCCAAGCCCGAGAGCCGCCCGAGCCGCGCGGACCCAAGCGCCCGCGCGGGCCCGAGGCCACCGAGCCGCCGGCGGCGCGAGGTGGAGCGGGGCGGGGAGAAGCCTGAGCCCGCGCTCCCGGCCAAAGTGAACTTTAATCGGGGAGGTTGGATGCAGAGCCCGGGCGGCAGGTAACGGCGGGCGGCGGGCGGGACGCGCGGAACTCGGGTCCCTTTGTACGGCGCGGAGCCCGGGGCCGCGTCCAAGTTGCGGCGCGCGGCGCGGCGGAGGCGGAGGCGCGAGGCGCGCGGCGCGCGGCGCGGGGTCCAGGCCCCGGGCAGCGGCGGTCGGCCTGCGCGGCGCTCGGGGCTCGGCGCTCGGGGCCCGGGAGCCGCCGAGCCCGTCTCATTGTTCCGCGAGTCCGGGCCGGGGCGGCCCGAGTGGGAGGAGGAGGAGGAGGCCGGGCGGGAGTTTGCCGTGCGCGGACGCGCGTGGGGCGCTCTCTCCGCCACCCCGGGGACCCCCCGCTGGGGACGTCCGGGCCGCAGACGCGGGCCTGGGAGCGGCGCGCTCCCCGCAACTTGTCAGCTCTATTGTTGCCGAGCGGGTGAGTCACTTGGGCTCCGGGTGGCCGCCGCTCTCTCCTCCCTCGCCGGGCGCGGGCTCGTTCCGTACTCCGCCTCGGGGGACCTCCCCCCCCCCCCCCCCCCGGAGCCGAGCCGCCTCGGAAACTTGCGGGAGCCCCCGAGCCACGCGTGGGTTCCCTCCCGCAGCTCAGCGGTAACCCGGCTCACCCGCCTCTGCCCTTCCCTCGGTGGGGATGCGTGGGGGTCTGGCGTGTCGGCCGGCGCCCCCCCCCCCAAGCCCGAGCGCCGCCCCACTCTCTCCCTCTCACCCGGGGCTCCGCGGCTCAGCTTGTCTTCTCTGCCGTAGGACCTGCTAGAAGTGGCTGAAGATGAATCCCCAGCAGCAGCGCATGGCCGCGATCGGGACCGACAAGGAGCTGAGCGACCTGCTGGACTTCAGTGCGGTAGGAGAGCTTTCCTCCGCGTCTTGGGGGGTTCTGCTGAGCTTTCCCGAGATCGAGCGAGTCAGGGAGAAAAGGGGGACGGCGACATGGCAGCGGCCAACTCCGTCTGCGTTTCAGCGATAGTTCTGAGGGCTGGAGTCCAGCTCCCCCAAGTTGGACACCTGAACTTTGATGTAATGTCTAGACTTGCAGATTTCAAACTTTAATGCCAGAGGGGTCATTTGATTTAACCAGTTATAAGAAGAACAATGCAATCATGAGCTTTGGTTGACTCACTGCCTAGTCCTGATGATTATTAGGGATTTTACACTGTATATGAAAGAGAGGTTTTTGGTTTTTTTTTTTCTTAAACTCTTCTTGGTATTTCCCTCCCCAAGACTTCATGTGGCTTGTGGTACCTGAAAAGTGTCAGCTTCAGAAAAGTCAACCCAGCGCTAGAATTCCCAGTCTTCTGAGCTGAATACTTTAACTATGCATATGCAGTGTGTATATGTAATATGGAAAATGATTTAAAAATAAAAGGTGAAGCCACAGAGCCCATTGCCCTTATTTCTTACTAATGTTTTGAATTTCAACATTAACTGCTCCTAGAAGGCAGGGCCAATACCTGCTGTATTAGAGCTGTTATTATCTTTCCTGTATGTGGTAATTTCATCGGACATGATTCTGATTACAAGTGCTATTAAGTAATGTTAATGTAATGAGAATCACTTAGGGCCAAAGTGAAGATCATGGGTAAAAATTTACTGTTTAAACTTAATTATCTTGGAATCTTGCCTGTGGCTGAGTTTTCTTTGCAAATGTCACCAGTTTGCCCAAGAAGTGTTAGTAAATAATATCACTTGTTATTGCCACACTTGGTCTGAATGTGGCTTCCATTTTTATTTCAAATTCTCTATGAAAATTAAGGAACTAATTAATGATACTTGGTGAACTTTTCTTTGCAAGGAGTATAGATGAATTTCAAGATTAACAGATAGATTTGGGTTATTTTGCAGATGTTTTCTCCACCTGTTAATAGTGGGAAAACAAGACCCACGACACTGGGAAGCAGTCAGTTCAGCGGGTCAGGTAAGATGATGTTGAAAATCAGAAATTTATATTTTAGTGCTCTGAGATATTTTAATAGAAAAGCATAAAGCCTGTTAATGTCTGTCACGCCATTCTGTACTGTGTCGGGTTAAAATCATAAACTGAAAAAAGTCTCAAACTTGGAGCGTTGTCTTAAAGAATTTCAGCATGGATTTAAAGTTGCTGTCTTTTTGTGAATGTTAAGATTGAAAATTGTCTTGAACATGGTGAATTGTGTCATGATTGTATTTAGAAAGATGCCCGAGGAAGGCGCTCTGTGGTTCATGGGTCTTCCTTTTATATATGCAGCCATTTAATATATTTTCAGCTCATTAGCGTTAATAAATCTCAGCTTCTAAAATGGATAAAAGTATTATTGATCTATTGCATAAAAGGTAGAATTGAGACAAACAATAATTAGTAAGTTATATTTATTTAAAAGATGGCTCTTACATTGGAAATCTTTAGGAAATTATTTTGTGGACATTAATTTAAAATGTTAATTTTATGTTAAAAATAAATGAAACCTTATATTTATTTTATTTTTTTTGTTTTTTTCCCTTATATTTATTTTAAATGACATATGTTAGATGAGTGAATTTTTGTCCTGTAATCATTATATTTTTTAAAGTTAGATTTCTAAGCCAATACTGTTAATGTTAAATTTGTTTGCTTTTGGTGTACTGTTTTGTCATATTACTAAACAGTGTCCCAACTTGAAGAAAACTTACGATTTAAAAAGACGTGTTCTGGAGCAGGGTATATTCTTGTCTATAGAATCTGTAATTTCTGTTTTCCTAAAGCTGTTCCTCAGTGTCCAGAGAGGTGGAGAGGGAGCAGTGAGAGCGCTGTCCTGAGAAAAAGCGGCTCTTAGCTTTCAGGGCAGAAGCTCAGGCGCTCTGTTTGGTTCAGCGCTTTTTGTTTACCTAGTAAAGTCAGAGCTGGTTTCCAAAGTGCTGTGAGAGCAGAATTCATTTCATATCTGGCTTTAATGTTTTATTTTATTTCTACTTCATATTTAAAACATGTTTCATGTTTCTGTTTAAAATCACACATTAGGTTAGCTGGGTTCATTTTAACTGTGACATTACAGCGTGTGGGGAAACTAAAAGATGCCTATCACCTAACTTACCAAACAGGAGAACAAAAAGCAGTTTTGGATTTCATATAACCTGAAGGCTAGTATTCTTGATTATAAAGACAGGAAATGTTAACCAGATTCCAGTTCTTCTCCCACCTCTTCCCCTTTGCCTAGTAATCACTGGGGCATTTTCTGCTTTTGGGATAGAGGAAGAAGAAAATTATCTGTAGAGTAGTGGCTGTAGTGCAGCCCTCCACTAGCATTTAGAGGACATCTTAATTTTTATAAATAAGTTGATTGTTATGAACTTTTAGATGGACATTTTGTAAGACATGGTAGGTGCCTGGTGTGCTCTGTGAGTCCTGATTGCTGTTTTATACTGTTAGCTTCAACTCATGTTGTGGAAAGCATATGTAACTGGGCATTGATTAGGCTAGGAACATTAGAAACTTGTTATGAGAGTGCAGTTATACTTATTTTTAAAAATTCAGACTGACTTCTGCTATGAAAATATCTGCTGGATTGCAAGTATGTGACTGCAAGGCTCTGTCAGACAAATGTTTGTGATAGAAGTGACACTCATTTCTCTGGATTAAGATGTTATTTAGACTTAAATTTCTATATTCTGTGGACATAGCAATATTTAGCTGTGAGGTTTGTTTTAAAAGAATTATAACAATAGTGAGATTTAAATTACAAAAGGAGAAAATTGCATGAGGTTATTTTACAACAAAATATTTGGTGGATACAATTTCTCTCTAGCCTTTCTTATCTCAAAGTGAATATTTAAAAGAAATTGGCACAGTAACATTCTGTGTATGTACTGTGCATCTATCTTACTGACATTTCAAAGGATATTTGTAACAACACTCTAGTTTCTATTGATGTGCAACATATAGGATGTGAAGATGTCATGGTCCTTTTGAAGAGCCGTGTGTGAAGACTAGAGGTTTTTGTCTTTGGAGTAACATTCGAGACACTCATCTTTTGCTTTGTGAGAGCTGCAGTTTATAATGTGCAGTATTACATCCTCCTCATTATTCGTTCCTTAAAAGAAGGACTTAATTTTGTAGTTGATTATTTTGGAAATATAATCCAAATTATGTACAATACTTTTGTATTTTCTTTTTACCTGAAGTACCTAATATATTCTATAGAATGAGATGTTCCTTTTATCTTGTTTCTGAAATAAAACAAATAACTTGAAAGTCAGTATAGAAAAGATGAATGCGTATTTATTACTTGAATCTGTACAGTGTCATTTCTTCCTCAAGATGTTATTTCCTTTGCATTATAGGTAGACTGTAAATTAGTCCACTTGGTGTGAGAGGTCGTGTGAGATGTTCTGTACTGACCTTGTGATAAGTATGTCTTTGGAAATGAAAGGTGGGGTACATCAGCTTCAATATAGTTTATAAGAAATAATATATACATCTGAGTATAGTGGCTCACACTTGTAATTTTGGCCCAGAGGCAAGGAGGAACAGGAATTCAAGGTCATCTTGGGGTCCGTAGTTAAAGGCCAGTGTGGGCTACATGAGACTGTCAAAATAAACAGATCAACACTACAAACAACAACAAAGACGGGAACTACCCACAGATGCAGTGTTGCTTTCCCGTTTCCCTCCAGGGGCAATGTCTTGCTTAAGTGTCATAGATAGGGGATTGATAGTGGTAAGGTAAAGATATGCTCATGCTGCCCTTTTATACTTGCATACATTTTCCTACTAATTAAAAAAATTCGTAACATTATTATTTACTCTCCATTAGGTGTGACAAAATTATTAAATGTGGACCCATCCTATAGGATTTCAAATTGCTAGAGTAGAATTTGAATACATCTAGTGAAAAAGAAATGAAAGCAGAAAACCAAGATTTTACTAAGGTGTTTTAAAACTGAACTATAGTACAAATAGAAATGGTGATTTTTAAATAAAAAGGAAACTAAGTTGGTCTGTTACTCAAGGTATTTTCAGGTTATGAGTGAGGTGTGGGCCTCAGTGTATACCATTTAGTGTTGAGATTAAGGATAACTAAGTTTTAGTATTATGTATATGATAAGATTCAACATTTTAGATATTGTTGTACTGATGAATACTAACTGCAGACTCAGCAGGTATATGGAGACATGTAATATTTTAAGTTAAAATGGTTTATTAAGGTAAAGGATAAGTAGCAAAGAGGTTTTTTTGGAAAACCTTGTAAATTTAAGTACAAACTTGGAAAACAGAAAAATGAAACACAAGATTGTAGCTGTGAGCACTGTGCTCTTGAGAACAGTTCTTCAGTGACCCTTCATCAGATCACAGTGCTTGGGACTTGTTATACTTAGTGAAATGTGCATATAATTGATTGATCATTTTTGTCTTTTCACCAACAGCTTATGTATAGATTTATATTTCTGTCTTTAAACTATCTCTTGGTATATTGTCTTCCCTGAGTTTCACAGTGGTTCTTTTGGATAGGAAAATGAAAACATTCAGCTTTAATTATAATCACAGTTTTTTCTACATTTTGGTTTAACAGGATCATAGAGTGTACACAATTATTAAAGTCAGATAGTCTTTTCTGTTCTTAAACAATTGGTAATCATTCTTGAAATTCACTGCCTGCTTTATATGTTTGAAGACTTGGGCATCTTGTTATGAGAGAGTGCGGTTAGAGAGAGGTACTTATTAAGATAGTGTTTCTGGACAGTGCATAAGCTTACTTAAAAGAAAAATAAAACTAAAAAAACCAAGAGACCAAACAGACTGCTTTTGGGTGTCACCTGAATGTTGAATGTCAACTTTTAGTTGGGAATGTTGAAATTACAAATCTAATGTGT